ATTTCCTCCTTGCCTAAAAACAGCAATAATCATTCCAATTTTCAAAGGGGGACACATCATCAAATCCGGCAAACTAGCATTCTTATTTCATTACTGAGTGGGTACCTCTAGGACAACAGCCTCCTCGTCAGCCAAAACCAGTTTCAAAACTCAAAATGAATAGACGATATTTTCCTTTCTCGAGGAGTAGGTAGTACCTTTGTCTAAATGATTCTGTGGTGGCTGAGGCAGTATTCTGTGACTTCTCAAAGGTTTTTGACTGCGTGAATCATGGAATACTGCTGCGGAAACTGTCTCATTGTAATATTCGAAATACTCCTTTAAAGGCACTTGGACCATTGAAAATAGGTTTCGGTGAAAATGTCTAAATCTTTTATATATGTTGTAGTTCTAAGTCTGTAGATCAAACTTGGGCAAGAAAACTGGAGGCGTCCTCGAGCCGTTTCGGAGCTACGGCCATCCATAGGCGTGCGAATAAGAGTTCGACTGCAAGTTGAAAAGTTTACTTTTAAGCACAAAAAAAAAACATTCTAAGGCATAATTGGACATAGTTGCTTAGAATATACTTACATGTAGCCGTTAGACTGAAACTATTATAAATATACAGGGTGGACACTTTTTATTGGTACCTATATTTGAATCATTCAAAAGTTATTGCTAAATAATTTTAAGTTAAGATAAAACAAACAACACTTTGCAATAACAAATTAACTTCCTTACTTTTTTGATTCTCGTGTGTGATTTCACACTGTGCAGGGAAGAACACTTTTGACATTACATTGTATACTCAAGTAGCTAGTCTCAACATGAATAAAACCAACATTTCAGAGAACATTATTTGTAATAATCATTATAATGATTAAAAAATGTTATGCGTAATAGATTTTCAATTTTAAACGGTTAGAAGGGTGTGCGCCAAAAAAACAACTTCATCTTAAAAAAAAGAGAAAAAAAATCTAAGAATAACAGTGAAATCCGCACCCCTCTATGACAAATAATACCGCAGATATGGCTCTATGAAGGTACCGCATCTCACCCTATGACGTCACGAAAGCTCAAGCGACGCACGAGAAAGTGGATTTAATTAAATTTACGTAATGTTTTTCCTGTGTTACCTGCAATAATCTAAACAAAAACCACTCACGCGTGCCGGATACAATCAAATTAACAATGCAGAGCGCCGCTGGACGAAGTTTTCATGACGTCACGAGAGCGTCGTCCACACTTTAAAGCGGTATATCTCAGCGATGGTTTATCGTAGAATAACGAGGTTTGAACAGTTATTCTTAGATTTTTTTACACTAAAACTTTAATTTTTAGCGCACACCCCCTTTAATGTAAAGGATCAAAAAAGAAAAAGAAAAGCCAACTAAGTGCAAAACTAAATGCCAAATTACGTAATAAAATTACCTAAATATGTTTGATTGATTATTCTGTAATAACAAATAGAATAAAGTACCCAACATAAAATATGTATCTAGGTATAAAGATCTATAATTTTGATAATGCTCAACACTCAAAACTGGGTTGGAACTGTCGGTTTTATGACATCAATAATTATCAAACACAGTTTTTCCACTAATCAAAAATACATTAGGTACTTTTCTCGACAAGTGTTTTGTTTACAATGTTAACATCTTCAAAAGAAGAGAAACTGTAATAGCTATTTAGATATAGATTAGTTTGCAAGAACCCGCGATATATTTAGATTTAGGAATATACTAAATATTGTCTGGATTGTGAAATCGATTTGAAACATCTCGCACCTTTTCCAAGAGAGAGTTGGATGGCCAAATGCCTAGAATATCCCAGAAACCAAATAGCGCTGGTGATGTGTGCACACATAACAAATGTCCTTGCATCAACTTTTCATGTGCAGTAATGACCAGTTAAGTTGAGATAAAACAAACAACATGTATTAAACAAAAAGATTTTAACTGATTTATAAAGTATTTAAATATACTATATACCTACAAACCAAATCACTGCAAATGTCCAATAAAAGATGAGCTTTTCGAAAATATCCCATAGGATATGATCAAATATAGGTACCAATGAAAAGTGCCCACCCTATACATTTGCCACAGTTTAAGTCCAACGGCTATGTTAGTATATTCTAAACAATTATGTCTTATTATGCCTAAAAATGGTTTGTTTATTTTGTGTTTCAAAGTAAACTTTTCAATAATTTCAATGCGACGCGGACGCTTACACTCGGACTCTTAATCGCACGCCTATGGATGGCCATAGCTCCGAAACGACTGAAGAACTTCCCCAGTTTTCTTGTCAAAATTCGATCTACAGGCTTAGAACTACAACATATAAAGAATTTTGGTTTTTCCTCTATCTATGAAATCACTTTTGTTTTGTTTCTTTTTTTTTTTTTTTTTAGTTAATAATAATGGGAACATTAGGTTTAGATTTAAGAGCAATGTATACTGCATATACCTCTATCTATTATAGATCCTACATTTTAGTGTACTCTGTAAGTTGTAATGTTTAAGTACATTATGTAGAGTGCAATAAACAAAATAAATAAAATAAATAAATAAATTCAGACAACATGACCGAAACCTATTTTCAATGGTCCAAGTGCAGGGTCCTTTGTTTGAATCAATACTTTCGGAAACGATCCAATTTGTATATTTGAATGGTGCTGGAGAATGGAAGTTGAGAGACCATCCACAGGGTACGATTCTAGGACCAATAATCTTTATGTTAATGGTCTGCTGTCGATACCGATCTCAACTAAACATACTGCCGTTGCTGATGACGACTGCTAAAAGTTCAGATACAAATCAGCTCAAGACAACCATATTGAGCAAGATCTTTTGACATTAAAAGCCGAAGAAATTGTGTTTTAATGTGGAAAAAAGAAATGTACGCCAGATCTTGTCAAACTTTAAGAAAGATAGGAAGGCCTCTGGAAAGCAAATCAATCATAAAGTTTTTGAAGTTGCACATAAGCTCGCAACTGAAATTTGAAACTCATATTGATACTTTCACCAAGAAACTAGCTAGAGGTTGTTTCATTGTCAGAACTATTGTTCAGGAGCATAGTAAGAATACAGTAGACATCATATACGTCCCTCTGCTAGATGAGTCTCATATTATACGCTATGGCACTGCTTCCTCGGATTTTTCAACTAAAGATCAGTTTAATGGTTCTGCAAAAAGAGCTGTCCAATATCTGTTCAATATGAGATGTAGGGAATCATGTTGACTTGACCATTATTAAGGCAAGAAGAAAACCCCTTGATTTACCCTAATAAAACGCTCTGTTATCTACAAGGTATTTAAAATGTTTTACTATTTAGGTACCAACCTGAGGAAATGAAGAACAGTTCTAGTTATGAAAATTTTAGAAAGCTTGTTAAAAAAAACAACTTGTCGCCAAGGCATTGGCGATTTTTATGAAATTGAACGTATTTCAATTGTTTTGTATTATACTTGAGTATATGTCTATCGTGGTGGTAAACTTTATGTGTGGTATGATATGGATATACAGTGTGTCCGTAAAGTATACCGGATAAATTCATTTAAAATTCATATCATATTTTTTTTATGAAAAAACGCTCGGACACGTTGATCTTAATTTTTAGTTGCGCTGTTTTTAAACTAATTTGTATTTATACAAGGTGACCCAAAAAAGAGATATCACATGACACTTCAATTTTTTAAATGGAGTGCCCTGTATATTTCGATATATTACATCGATATATATCACTGTATATCCTGGATTGTTATATTAAGGTATAAGGTTCAGAATTTTCTGGGAATATTCGCTAATATTGTATTGCTTTGTTAGTCAAATTGATAAAAAAAATCGACAATACAGCTTACCTATTTATTATTATAGTCTATAATGTTTTCCAGATAAAAACGGATTGCCTTTTATATAAAGCTGCAGAAGTGATCTGAGACAAAGGGAGTTTATATTGTAATTCGCATTTTTTTATGGCATATTGTTCGTCGATTTTTAACTGATACTTGTGGTATGAACAGCAAGGGGGTGTTTCATATGACAAAAACAGGTGTGACGTCAGGTCACTATTAACGTTCTGATGTAGGGAGCCACCAGCTCACATTCCGTCCGAGTATCAGATTAAAATCGACGAACAATACATGTGACTTTTTTTTTCTGAAATTTGAGGCTACATTTTGAAAATTATACCTATTGGCAAAGTTTACCATATGTTACCTATAAAATTAAGACTAGTTCAATTAGTTCAAAACAAACTTCAAACAATGTGTCATTTAATTTATTACTTTAATATCGCATTAAGCCCTAAATGTAATAAATTACCTACTTCAAATACGAATGCACTTAGGTACTAGCCATTTTATCTAAGTTTTTGTTTTTCAATTTTAAGTTTTGTCTTTTTCAAATAGGAATCTGGCGTCAATTGGGTAGGTACCAAAAATTAGCGTTCAGTCCAATATACCTAAGATCTATTAGAATATTGGAAAAAAATACGACAGCAATGGCTAATAATTTTGCACTTTTCAAGCTCAATTTTGTTGAAAGAATTCAAAAAGTGACCTACCGATTAATTTAAAAAATGTAAGAAAATTATAGGTTTTTGGAACCAACCAAGCTTTTAATTTTAAGAAATACTCACAAAAAATACTAATATTTTTCTAATTACATAGGTATGTATAATATGAGCATTTTTGTGTAGATATTGGAATATTAATAACAATACATTTGTATTGAAATCCATAGTTGGCAGAATCAAAATATTTATTTTCTAGATTTTCACTAAGTAAAACATATAATGTACCCATGTTTTTATGATGTTAAAAAATTGATTTTCCTTAAAAACTATCGATTTGAAATTTCATCTCAAACTTTTCCATATAAACCGCACAATGTTATTTCATTTATGGTACTCAGATAATATTCTAATAAAAATTGCATTTTTTCTAAAATAACGAAAAATATCATTAGGACAACTTTAGTAATAATTAAATAATATAAATAAAAAAGTTTGACTCACGGTTGGCGGGAAAAATAGCTATCCAGATTGAACGGATTTTGAATAAAAACTCGCATGCGTGAATGTCAAACGGAACAGGTGTTGTCAAACACAACTCACGACACTTTGCTAGGAACTAACTGTCAGTAAATAAACTGTCTTAAATATCTCAGGTAAATGATTTAAACCTATCTCGCGCGTGGAACAATGTCGAGTGATTAAAAAGCAGGAACGGATTAGCAGAAATGCCAATCAGAGTTTTTTTTATTGCCGGTCTGATAATTTAATGAAAATACCAGATCTATGGAAAATAATTGTACAAACATCACCATAAAATATTGGTTATTTTTACGATAGATTGAAGGATGTAGGTATAATAAAATTATTGTTATTATTTTCCGCGATATGCAGTGTTGTAGTAGCCGTCTGGTTATGGCTTTTATTCGATTGCTCCGACGCTAAAGGTAAGTAAAAGTAACTGTTACAGATGACAAAATTACAATGCACCGATAAGTAGGCATCTAAAGCATCATAATTGAAGTGACAAAAAAGCATAATATTCTTGAGATTACCCAGGTATAATAACAAAAAGCGGCTTGGGGCACAATGTTGAAAGTCTTTTTAATTAATTAACATATTAATCGATTTCAGAAATATTTGGCTGGCATTACTTTTTCATATTTTTGTATATAAAGCGGGTTGACAACGTAAAAATCTAACCCTGGTATCTAATCTATTTTTTATTGTCAGGATACACTCAAATGTGTCAGAATGCATTTTTTATAATTTCTAGTTAGTTCATTGGCGTGAATTTATGACAAGTAAATTTAACGAAATAAATTTGAATTATTGGAATAAAAAATCACTTAAAAATAAATTAGGAATTTATTGTTATACGGGGTGTCCCAGCCGAGAGTGACCCATTTTAAATGCTTATAACTTTTGAACCAGGTATGCTAGCTACCTGCGGTTTAAAACATTCGATTTCTCTTGGCCTGAAGTTTTTTTCTGGTATATTGCAAATTTTTTTGAAACTTGCCTAATAAAAACTGCATGAAACTATAAAAAATGCTGTATATGGATCAGTAAATGGTTGAATGAATTGTGTAACATTTCCTGAAGAATCGCTTCAATGACATTACAAATGTTCCACTTAAGATCTTCCAGGCTTTTTGAGCTATCGAGCAAAGTATTAGCGCATCTTTCCTTGACATAACCCCAGAGAAAAAAGTCCAGAACTCTCAAGTCAGGAGAGTAAGGTGTCCATTCTATAGGACCAGCTCTCCTTATCCGTCTTTCCCCAAATGTTATATCTAGTGATTTCCTTATTAAAGAATAATGAGGTGGGGGCACCATCCTGCTTGAAATAGATAGCATCCAAGATACCCTCTTGTCTCAACTGTGGGGAAAACAAAACATATCAGTGTATACAGTTTCTTTTGTTGTCGGTTCATTAATGAAAATATTCTGTATTTTTTTTCAATATAATAGAGATTGCGTACCAAACTGTTACTGTTTGAGTATCTCTATTTAACGAGTTCCAGAGAAAATACTCTGGAACTCGTAAATTTTCTTGGAAAATGTATTTCAACTTAATTGATATCTAACTAGACAGTTCAAAAATTGTTTGCCATAGTGATATCAAGTACCTACAACCAGAGCTGGGCAGTATTTGCAATTCTAAATACTTTTTAGTATTTAAATACTTTAAAGTATTTAAATACCTAGTATTTAAATACTTTTCTAGAACTGGTATTTGTATTTATGAATCCAAATACTTTTTGAAATATTTGGTATTTAAATACTTTGAAGTATTTTAAATACTTTCAAAAGTAGTTAAATACTTTCAAGTATTTAACTACTATCAAAATTATTTAAATACTTATGAAAGTATTTAAATACTTTTTCTTGTGCAAAAAATATACAGATGAACAAGATTCAACTCAAATTATCAGTTCCTAGACTAGACACGTGCGCGATTTTGCGAAGTTTCTCGGTGATCTGTCATTTTTGCGATGTATTATTTTTCCTTCAATACACATGAAGCGAATAATCGCAAACACTGTTTTTACTCTATAATAGCGCAGAAACAACTATTGAGGGATCCATCGACACTATACTCATATACTATACTTATACTACTTACTTATCAGTTATCACTTTACCAAAAACAAAACGAACAAAACAATAAACAATCATAACATAACCCTTATTTCATCATTTTGTGGCGACTTGCGATAGAATATTCAAAGTTGAGTTTAGTCGCTGCGATTATTTTTGACAGTTCAAAATGATAGATCAGCGCGAAATTTCGCAAAATCGCGCTCGTCTGAAAGCACCTTTAGGCTTTATCTGTGCTTACTACTGTTTGTTCTTTTTATACTCTTCTTTTGATCAGTTGATTTGTTTCTTTGAACTGTTATTTTATTTATTTTTCAAGAAGGTAATGTTTATTTTTGTTGTATTTATATTAATCAAATAAATAATTTTTTGTTCGATTTGATTATTTTCAATATTTGCCGACTCTGTTTTCACGTCGGTCGGTCGTATTTATTGTTTGGCAAGGAATGGTAAGTAAGCAAGTAAGTTAATTACTTATTAGAACGGGTAAAATTAGCCATCTTCGAAATTCGGAAATTTTTGATGTATTTGCCACTGCCAGTTTTCCACTTTTGTCAGAGTATTTCAGCTATCAGAATTTATAGAACATTTCGTTACTAATGCGAATAGCGACTAGTCTATTCGCACGAGTGACGACCGATATTTTTCATAACGAAGTCTTGATTTGATTTGATTTGATTTGGACAGTGCCAAAAACGGCCTCCAGTAGTCAAATCAATCGTACTTTATCGGTATAATAACACTGTTGTGACAGAGTTAATCTTGGTTCAATGTTTCTATAGGTTGATTAGTAGGAATTTATTGTTTTCGCTAGACCTTGGCAATTACCTTGTGTTTAATGGTGGGAATGAATCTATGCCCTTCAACACTTCGTTATGAAAAATATCGTTCGTCACTCGTGCGAATGGACGCCTTTCTTTTTTAAACTCGCCTCCGCCGATGGCTCCTTCTGCTACGAACTACGACTCGTTCCAAAATCATTGCCCTCGTTTGAAAAAGGCCGTCTGCCCGTCTATTCGCACTAGTGACGAAATGTACTAAGTATTTGAAGTTTTTGAATAAGGTATTTGCCTAATAAAAGTATTTAAATACCTTTTAAAGTATTTAAATAATTTTAAAGTATTTAAATACTTTTTAAAGTACTTAAATACTTAAAAAGTATTTAAATACTTAAATAAGTATTTAAATACTTTTTGTATTTAGTATTTATTTCTTTTCAAGTTAAATAGTATTTAGTATTTAAATACTTTCAGTCTTTATTAGGTATTTAGTATTTAGTATTTAAATACTTTTCGAAAGTATTTTGCCCAGCTCTGCCTACAACATGAAGTGGTATGAATTTGCAAAAATATCAAGATTTCGATTTTGATTTTTTACGGCTAAAACTTCAAGTTTCATCAGGGACGATGTCTATTGGTACATGGATACCTTGAACATGAGTCTTTTTTTGACGTGGTGATATACAGGGTGCTCCATTAGAAATAGTGGAGAATTTCGATATTGATAAACGGATTTTTTTTTAGCCGTCCTGGATAAGAGAAATCGAATGGCACAAACCGCAGGTAGCCAGCACACCTGGTTTAAAAGTTATAAGCATTTAAAATGGGTCACTCTCGGCTGGGACACCCTGTATTTAAAAATAATTTAATAATAGGAATTGGAAACCAATTCCAAGAATGTGGTAATAGGTAACAAGTGTCTATAGGCAAGACATCGCAAAGTTCAGAAACTATAGTTTAGTACCAGGTAGTGTAGTACAGAAAATGAAAGCTTTAAGTACCTAAGTGAAAAAGTGTTTTCAGCCAGCCATATATTGAGGTACCTACATCCAACATTGCGAAACTTAGGATAAACTTAATTTTGTCTTGTTTGAATCTACCTTAGTAGTACAGATCCAGATTTTCAACCCCCAAAAAGTTGAGCCCCCTGAGATATTGCTGAAATATTTATATTTTTTTACCAAAAAAACACTAAAGATAACTTCTGTCGGAAAAAGTCATTCACATCTTTTCTAAAGCAACTAAAAATTTGCCGCTTGGTAGCTCTGCTAGTTGATGAATTAAAGCTTTACAAATTTGACATTTCTTTTATTGAGAAAATAGTAAACTATCCTACCCTGCACATCGAGAAAAATATTGGAAAAATTGCTAGTCTCACATAAACATTCATGAGAAATGGAGTTTTAAATTGAGTAAGGTACACCAGGGGAATCGGAACCCATAATTTTCAATATTTCAGGGGATGTTTTGTAATGGCGTTTGCTATGTGTACATGCATTTTTGTTCAAATTCTAAAATCCGCCCAAAATATATATATGCCCAAATGAAAAAGGGGCATTAGGTTCCACTTGCCCCATTGCTTGGGGTAAGTGTAAATGTGATCAAAAAATACGTTTAGATAGGCTGAAATAGGTGTGGGGTAAGTGGAAACAAATTTAAATTTATCCCAGTTTATTAAAAAAATACAATTCCACATAGATTTTGATCTAACAAATATTATAAGTGGTGAAAGAGATGTCGAATTTAAATTTTCCCCGTTTGTCAAACGTTGGTTTGGGCATACGAAGGTGCACCTCATCTAGAGTAATAATGGACTTGTCTTCGACATCTGGCCAATGAAAATAATTTGTGATTCCAATTTTTCTTGCAAATTTGGCTTCGATAGAAGGATTTGTTTCTGTTTTTTTGGGCGACATAAAATTTGAAGACTTTTCTTGGACAAAACTTCATTATTAGCCAGTCCCCGATTTCAACTTGCTTCACATCTTTTGTAACCGCAGTCATAAACTCATTTTCTTCCACATCTTCTCTCATTTCGTCTTCTGTAATCTATCATACTATCATCGCTGAGTTCTGGTTCTGCGGCCTCTACTTCATCATCTTGTTCTTCGTCTTCTGGTTCTGCGGCCTCCATTTCATCATCTAGTTCTTCGTCTTCTGGTTCATCGATAGGTTGTGTATTTTTTTGTATCTGTTGTAGTTCTTTGTTCTTTGGTTGTTTAATTTTCAAGTGTTTTGTCTGCTGTTTGTTTTCGATTTCTTTTAACTTCGCAACTGCTTCTGAAGATGTTATAACC